AAAGATGTTCCAATAATGATTCCATGTTTCCATGTTTACAGCTGCAGAAGATTCCAGCAGTGGAACAGATGCTGCGATGATAGCGGGTAAGTTAAGGAGTCCCAAAATAACAAGTAATGCCTCAAGTTTTATGCCGGCTTTGTCACAAGCCTAATATTGGAAAGATGTACAACACGAAAAATGAGGGCAAGGAATTTTAGGCCTAAACTCAGAATGCCTAATTTTATTCATTTAAAAAAGCCAGTTAAAATACAAATTGAAGGCTAAACTCTGAGCAAAAACCCAAGAGAGAGCAGCAGTGACAGATCCTTATTACAGGAGGGGGCGGAGACAAGACCAGTTGCCTCTCTGATAAATGTCTGTACAGATTGTTATCAGAGGGAGTCAGTCATCCCCACGTGCAATCTGCAGCTATTATTTGCTTTACATTGAAGCGCAGATATTAGTTTATAGGATGCAGAAACTGCAACATTCCTCGCAATGTGTGATGTTCCAGGTTTTGGCGCACATGTTCTGAATCATCTTCAACAGAACCTGCAGAGCACACCAGAGAACATGCAGAGCACACCAGAGAACATGCAGAGCACACCAGAGAACATGCAGAGCACACCAGAGAACCCCACATAGCCCACCTGAGAGTCTGCAGAGCCCACCATAGACCCTGCATAGCCCACCATAGACCCTGTATAGCCCACCATATACTGTACCCTGTACAGTCCACCATAGACCCTGTATAGCCCACCGTAGAACCTGCACGGCCCACCATAGAGCCCACTATAGACCCTGCACAGCCCACCTGAGAGTCTGCACAGCCCACCATAGACCCTACAACGCACACCTGAGAGTCTGCAGAGCCCACCATAGACCCCGCACAGCCCACCATAGAGCCCACACAGCCCACTATAGACCCTGCACAGCCCACCTGAGAGTCCGCACAGCATACTATAGACCCTGTACAGCCCACCATAGAGCCCACACAGCTCACTGTGGACCCTGCACAGCCCACCATAGACCCTGCACATCCCACCTTAGAGTCCACACAGCCAAACGTAGACCCTGCACAACCCATCTGAGAGTGCACACGGCCCACCATAGACCCTGCACAGCCACCTGAGAGTCCGTTAGAGTCCACACAGCCAAACGTAGACCCTGCACAACCCATCTGAGAGTGCACACGGCCCACCATAGACCCTGCACAGCCACCTGAGAGTCCGCACAGCCCACCACAGAGCCCGCAGAGCACACTATAGAGCCTTAACAACCCACCATAGAGCCCGCAGAGCCCACTATAGAGTCCGCACAGCCCACCACAGAGCCCGCAGAGCACACTATAGAGCCTACACAACCCACCACAGAGCCAGCACAGCCCACCACAGAGCCCGCACAGCCCACTATAGAGCCCGCACAGCCCACTATAGAGCCCGCACAGCCCACTATAGAGCCCGCACAGCCCACTATAGAGTCAGCACAGCCCACTATAGAG